TCACAGGCGTTATCGAAATCAGTCAACATTCGTTCCGCTTGGCTGATGTTTGGTGTTATGAGAACGATATCGTCAGCAAAGCGAAGATGGTTTAATTGTCGACCGTCAATTTTCACTCCCAGTTCGTCCCATTCTAATGTTCGCATGACGTTTTGTAGGGTGGCAGTGAATAGTTTTGGCGATATTGTATCGCCTTGTCGAACCCCTCTTCTTACGTCAATTGTGATATTGTTGTAGAATGGAGGTATTCTGGTCGTGAAATCTTTATAAAGCTCACGAAGGATCATTATGTGCCGAGTAGGGACGCCCTGGTTATCCAGAGCCTCTATAACCGCTTCTGTTTCCACTGAATCAAAGGCTTTTTTCAGATCGATGAAAGTGAGACAGAGTGGTTGTTTGTACTCTCGCGAAACTTCAATGAGTCTTGTGATCGTGTGGATGTGGTCCATGGTACTAAATCCTTTTCTGAACCCTGCTTGTTCGCATGGCTGTCCTTCGTCCAGTGTTCTGTCAATCCTGTTCAGGATGACTCGAGTAAAGAGTTTATAGACAACGGACAGCAAGCAGATTGGGCGATAATTGTCTATGTCGTGAAGGTCTCCCTTTTTGAACAACAATACGGTCTTGCTGGTTTTCCATTGAATAGGGACCTTGCATTCTGACAGGTAGCGAGTGAAGAGCCGAGCCAGGGTGTTGATGAGAACTGGCGGCAGGTTCTTCAGGTGTTCTGGTCTAATCCTGTCTGGACCGGGTGTTGTTCTGTTTTTCACCGACGATATAGCATGTCGGATTTCGGAAGGAAGGACCGGTGGAACGACATATTCGTCCTCTTTCAATTTATATGACGGTAAGAGAACATGGCTAGCGAAGAGATCCGAGTAGTACTGGTGGATGATTTTCTCCATAGCCCTTCTGGAAGCTGTAAGTGTCCCGTCAGGGTATCGCAGTATATATTATATCAGGTATTATATAGTAAAATTTGGTTCTAAGCAAACTTCGCCGCCGCGAAAAGAATAATACTAGAAAGACTGAACGTATTTTAGTAAAAAGAACGCCAGTTATCTTATAAATCCCTATTTCTCAATACAAACTATGCATATTTGGAAGAACAGTGCATTTCCAATATTTTCGGATCTACATTATGAGAAATGCACGGCTTTTAGAGAAACTTATATGAAGATTCTTTAGTATGTAGTCGAACTAGCCTTGACAGAGCTTGTATTTCAATATACCTTATAATTATTTTCAAGCCATGCATAAGGTCTGGTTTGGGCACTTATACAAAGCAATACACGTATTTTGGCGTTCCAGCTTCGTCAGTTGCAAGGTGATGAAAGGCGCCGTACTACTGACGAGGCTGGAAGGCCAAAAAACGAGTATTGCTATGTATAAGTGCCCATAACAAACCTCATGCATGGCTCAAAAATAGCTAGAAGGCAAACTGAAATTTGAGCGAGGTCTCGAGAAGCGCTCGAAACGAGAAGAGTTTGTATTCTTGGATTTTAATAGTTTTTTTTCAAAAGACTGTAATTTTTAAAAGTTCGACCTATTTTTCTTCTGCCCAAAGTACATAAAAATTAAGAACTCAAAGGAATAAGCCTAAGAGAATTATGTGGCAAGCAAAACTCGATCCAGACGGAAGTTGGCTTGCTTTGATATCGGGGACACGTGCTACCACTGCACCACCAAAGCCACCACTTACTCATCATTCATTCTTCAATATCTCTCTATCACTGCTATCAGCTACCAACTATTAACAGCTTTGATGAGTAAACAACATCGCTCTATAAAATCAATTATGCTGACTGCTATTGTACTTACATAATTCCAAGGTTCTTTATGTTTTTACTGTCTTTCGCAGTGTTATGTTTCAAACAAGCCTTAGAAAATTGAATGCTAAGCAGAAATTCGATGTCTGACAGGAGTTATGTGAAACAATATACATGAGACCCTCATTCAAACGTTACTGTCAGTCAGCAGATCGCCCTTAATTTTACTTTTAATCAACAAGTAGTACTTCCTTCTTTTTCAGTAAGCTCTTAGTAGTCATTTCATAGCTTGACAAATTGATATATTGCTGATGAGCTTGGTTTTTGGAAAGACCTTTTAAGTGCGCAGTTACAATGTGAAGAGAATCGCCTCGCTTTCGAGGTGGTTAACTCGCTGTTTATGCTTCATAGCAGGTCTTGGTAGCAACTATTGGGTTGGAAAGAAAGTTATGAGACACTTATGCAAATCTGTAATATTTGCGAAAATTTCAAACGCAAGCAACAATAGTTATTTTTTAAAATAAGGGCCATCTTTTCTACGACTTTCGACCATCGGTCCGCCAGGTTTCGGATCCGGTCGGAGTACCATTCCTTCGACTTCGAATCAAAGAACTATTAAAATGCTTCTTCAATCACATCGAACGATTCAAATCGGCAACCCTTCAAAAAGTGTTGCATAGAATCCATCATCGTCCGGCATCAAAGCGTTGTAACCAGCATCCAACAGCTTGTTGTGCCTTCCCCTTCGACTTCTTTAATTTTATTGACTGCAACTCGCAATGAAAGACCCTTTGTCGAATAATGGTGCAATAAAACATGAACTTCGATTGTATCGTTGGACATGACGGAGGCATGCAACAAAGTGATAGTGAAGAAGAATAATATCTAGGCATTCGATGGGAAAATCGCACATAAGAAACTGTGATATTCCCATAAATGCATGGGAGTTATCTCATGCTTACTAAAGTGCCCCAGAGCTTTCTTTCCAACCATAGTACAAAGTGAAATTTAAATGAAGGGATTTAGATGATTGATCACAAATAAATAGCACATTACTGAAAAGACTCCTAGAAGGGTATTTTCAATAACGAGAACGCTAATGCACATCTTTCTGAAGTGAAATTTCTAACTCATATCGTACATTCATCTTACCCAACGCAAATTTTCTTAAAGAGTCCATGTGACGCAGTGGTTAGAGGTGCTCTGCGTCGCACACGAGGTCAATGGTTCGATTTCGCGCTCATGGCTCACCAAGTTATCCATCCCTCCGGGGTAAGTAAATTGGTACCAGTCTGGTCTCAGACTTGTCTGGGAAGATAAGCAGCACTGACTCGGTACAGCGGAAGGCTACTGCGAGTCATTCTTACTTACTTACTTGGAGCTTAGATAGTCCGTTTTCACTAGTTGTGCGAACCTCAACAAATATTCCAAATGGTATATTGCTGGTCGCACATATAATATTCCTTGATATCCTGAGAAACCTTGCAAGGGCGTTTTCACGTCTTCATGATGTCGTTTCCAAGGAATGGGTTTAGGTGACGGATCCTCGACAGGGCTTCCTGCTAGTTGATTCGGAGTTGATATTAGGCCGATATCAAAGCAGAGGTAGGAAAGAAAATCGAACAAACGCTTACGCATGATGTAGAAGCCGAAATAATTCGAGCCATTCTAAAGGTCAGATATGCATTTAATCACCTAAAACGAAGCTAAAAATTGAACAGGAATGCAGAACAAAATGTGTGCACAGGAGAGGAGGAAAGGAACGAATCATTAGACTTGGCACGAAAAATTGCCATTTCCGACGGCTACAAAACATTTGCTACTTGGGAATATTCAAAAAATGGAATTAGGTCCCGAAAGAACAATACTCCGCACCTGAATAGAGTCCCCTTCAAATTGCCAATTATATCAAACGAGATTAGTAGCGCGGTTAAAAGGTGCCTAAAAAGATGCGGTCTTGAAAATTCCGTGGTAATTATCGAAACCCTACCTCCCACCCTACGCCATCAGCTGATCCGCAATAGACTCTATGATCGATTGTGCAACACGAACAACTGTATAATCTGCCCCAACGGAAAAGAGGGAGATTGTATGAGGTCGGGCACAATTTATTTGCTAACATGTAACATGCGGGGAAGAATCTATAGGCGAAACGGGAAGACCACTTTTCATCCGCATAAAAGAACATCTAGACAGTAAATCTAAAATAGATAAAACCAAACCTTTAGGTTTACATAGGGCACAAAAACACAACAACAAGGATTTTGATGTGACTGTCACAATCCTGGCGCAGGAATCAAAAACGTCCACGCGCAAGACTCTTGAGGCATTTTGGATAAACGCCAAAAACCCCGAAATGAACCGAAAGGAAGAATGTGTCACCATCACACGAGATCTCGCGCCCTTTCTTCGTTTTATCTTCTAACCTGACCTAGGCAGCATATAAATAAGACCATCCGTATCATTCAAATAGACTAACACTACATACGCCCAGGCTCTGAAGAAGGCGTGTCGCCGAAACGTCAGCCGAATTTCTACAACTACTTTACCAACCTCGCGTCAGCTAATCAAGATAAGTTTTCTCCATTTTCATATATCAGTTGTTTTATAAAAGTCGACTAGCTCCTTGCAAGTGACCATTAAGCTGCCTTGAACACCTTCTCGTTGCTCATCAAAGTTTAGGGCTCCGAAGGGCAGTGCTCTCTTTGAAAACACACGGATTAGCCCCCATAATCGCACTATATTGTTCATCGCTTCATTGCTCAAGTCACTACCTAAGGTCAGTATCTCTGACCACTGCATTGCTTTCCATGATACCATGGGCTTCCTCATCAACCTCCTTGTTGCCAATGTTCGCAGAGAGCGTTTCAGCGATATTTTCCAGTCTTTGTCGGCGGGCATAATACAGCCTTTTAGTGAGAATGTTTATTTGGGAATACTATTTTCACAACTTCCTCCTACGATTATTTGCTTCTGCTTCCACAATATCTTGCTGAGAATTAAACCTTTTTTCTATAAAATTTTTGGTATTAGTGAAGGAGAACATCTATCAAAAGCAGTTGGCTGGACAAAGAGGTCCGTGATGTACTAATGCATTCAAAAGCACTCAGACGTAATCTTATGTAAATTTGGAGAGATGGGTACTGGACGAGATATAAGAAATCGTCTTGAAGTCATCCAATTGAAAAGAAATAATATGCTCAATAACGTAGAGTGACATGCAAAGACGTTCACCTCAGCTGGATTTGAACCCAGATCTCACTCGTCCCAGGAGCACGTGCTGAACCGTTGCACTACCGACGTCCGTTTTGCACACCACTCTTTCTGCGCTACAACGCGTTATCCGTCAACAGCCAACCGTCAGTGCTCTGGCGGGGTAGTCGTCATCGACATTGAACCCACTTATGTTGACAGATATTGGGTGTCAACAATCAATCAAAAATCATTTTATTTCACCGCCACTTGCGGTGGTATGATATTACAATATACCAAATAATGTAGAGTGATGTGCATAAGCGGGTTAAATGTCGATGACACTACCCCGCCAGACCGTTGACGGATGGATGTTGACAGATAACGCGTTGTAGCGTAGCGTTCAGCACGCGTTCCAGGAAAGAGTGAGATCTGCATTGGAATCCCAGCTGACGCAAACGTTTTTGCACACCACTCTACATTATTGGGTATATTGTAACATGATACCACCGCAAGTGGCGGTCAGTTAAAATGATTTCTGATTGAAAAGAAATACGTGGAGCACTTGAATTAGTGCCCATGCCTCGTTAAAGGAGAATAAACGAATGGTAGGAAGTTACCACCTACAGAACGATGGAACTAAGATTTTTTTATAGTTTCATGGAGGTTCCGATCCTGGAGGTGAAGTAATAATCAAAAAATTATTAAAAGTTATTGATGAAGAGGCATCGCACGCAGTGTGCTGCATCATTTCCGACAAACTAATCATTGTTTTCTGATATCCAAGCACTTCACTGACTTTTGTGTATTATATGGATCGAGAATAATAGTGATAGCATCAACTCTCGTTTCTTTCATCGAAACTCTTTTCGTTACAGAAGATATTTACGCAACATATAGTACTCATTCCTCACTTCATTAGTACTCTTACACTCCATCCATAGTAATAATGGCGCCCGTTTCCCCATATATCTGTATATCGCCACATTGTAATTGTATTGTTATTCCCACAATAAACGCTTATAGAGAGTAGCACTGGCGGCCATTCACAGACCATGTGATCAGTGGCATAAATTCCAAGAAACTAGTGTTATAAAGGACGGCCTAGTATTCTGCACTAAGACCTGTGACATCTGTAACAGTGGTCTTAGGTATAGAGAGCAGGTCAAAGACCTTGAGTGGCTGCCAAAAATCAATGACAAATATACATTCGTGGTTAATGGTTGACCATGGCCTTAACAACTTCTAGGTTCAACATATTCATTGCTCAGGTTTCCCGTTAGACTGTAATCTCCAATGCAATTAGGATGTTCTCATACGAGTAATGAACCGCTGCTAAAAATTTAAGTGACCACCCATTAATACGCTTCTTACTGATCAGCTCAAGTAGAAGCTACTACACAAAATGTTACAAAATGTTACTACGCCAAACTACACAGAAAAGATGCAGTCTTTCAAGTATAACTGTAAAAGTGAATTGCTTATTAACCCCGAGAAGATCCACAGATCCATATCACAGTTACGAGCAAAGCCCCTCAAGGAAAGGAAATCTCATCATGGACCATGCAATCCCATGCGTTGTTGTTTTCGTCGATATTAGCTCTCCCAATCACTATTTCTCTCACTGAAGCTGTAACTCTTTTTCCACGTTGACAACTAACGTTATTGTCAAGAGAAAGCAGTGAAATAGCGCCAGAATGAGCGACAATTTCATTTAAGAACAAATTAGTAGTTAAGCATAGTTGTTCAATTAACATTATATAGCTACTATTATTAATTATGATTAATCTTATATATTTGGTTAATAGTGATAATTTCATTTGAGCTCTTCAAAAAGCCGTCGATAGGGAAAGTATTATTCATTTTAGAATTGGGGAGCATCATAATAGATACAAGGGAATTTGTTGGTAAATTGGGGTTCGGACGAGACATTACCATATTGGATGATTACATATCAGAGAGGGCGCTTCTATAAGAATAAATTCAGTAAAAGAACTTCAATGTTTTTCAGCCGTTATGTAACATTTTTTTCTTACTTATCTATAACTTTGCAGCCATTCGATAGTTTGACAAATAGAGATCTCCATACCAAATTTGGTTTCTTGAAAGACCATATCACGTTTTACAAAGTGCAAGGAGATTATACTTTGTATTTGGAGTAGTTAGCTACTGTTTGTCAAGATTCACCGTGGATTCGTTAGTATTTATGCAGTAAAGTTTTGATTTCAAAGTCACTCTATTGACATGAGAGTATTATATTAGTTGAGGGTCGCTTTAAACGTAGTTTTACTTAAAAAGCTCAGTTGTCCTAAAATTTCCTACTAGTCAGTACGAAAGCCACATCGATGAGATAGCAACACATTTCCAATCCTTTCTTTTTCACACATTTCCTTGAGCAGTGTTGTTGAAATGTAACTTGGGAGCACCATTTCTACAAAGTGTCGTCATTGAAAAGAGAGCTTACAAGTGGGATTTTACAGTATATACCTAAAAAAGGAAAAAAAAACGCTTTGATCAGGTTGAGTGTAAGAGGACGCTTTTCTTTTTGAAAATGCGATGTGTATTCGCGTTGTTTTTACCACCCATAGCCTTGTTGAAATCTCCTCATCAAAGTTTGCCACTTATTGGCATTTTAGTGGCGACAAAAATTCAAGTTTTATTTGACAATGAAAATCCAAATTTCATCAATAACTACCACATCATAAATTAAAGCATGCTCTGCAATCAACGACCGCGTCGCATGCCAGGCAGAATACCATAGTGGTTCGCAACGTGTAAAAGAATTCACATACTTGGATGGTCTGTCTTCACTGTTTCTGCGAGTCCCGGCATGGTTTCCAGTCGTTTCTCTCTTGTGCATTTGCCGTCTCTGGTGATGGACTGCTTCGCGCATGGTGACGTACGCGAGGCCCATTCCGTGGTTCGAGCCATTTGCGAAAGCAGTTGGTTGATGTTAGCCATAAACAGTTCTGTCCATGTTTTGCGTAATATGCCTAAGAGACACTTACACTCTTTTGAAGCCCACTCCACCGTTCTTATCTTCATCTGACATCTGCAATTTTTGCATTTTTATTGACCCGTCTTTATAATTTTTTCCACTGTGCTGATCCTACTACTTCTAGCACTCAATTCGCTCTTTCGTATTCTTCTTTGAACATCGTAGAATACTGGTTCGACGTGTCTCTTTGCGATCTCAAGAGCAGCCTAGCTGTGGCGTGCCATAGGACGTTCGTTGTTTACTACCGGAAAGCGTTGGGCTGTGGGGTGCGCCCTCATCACGCCGCGCCGTGCAACATCAAGCATCGCAGCCACTGGGCCACAGCCTCCCCTCTGTTATCTTATCTTCCTATTAAATTATTGGTTCATCCATGTTTCACTACTGACGCATATTTTTCTAGGGCGCGAAGATGCAATAGTTTTCGAAGATCTGAGCAGAGCAAACCGATTAAACGTGAGTGCCGATTGAATTCTAGAAAACTTTAAACGAGCAACCTATGATTAATGAGCTGATTTCCTGACGTGGTAGTAGTGTCAGCCCATGCCTCTACTGCATAACAGAGCTCTGGGAGGACTATAGAATCAAAAGATAAGCACAAAATTTGGGGTCCACTATCTACCCGGTGGCTTCCTGAGAGTGTCCCTCCTTCATGATGTTTTCCATAAGCGCAAATCGGCATCAAACTCAGTTCAGCTGACACCTTTTTCTATACGTATTATCTGTATGAATTCTTTTGTTTTTAAAAACACTTGGCACATTTTGACACTTTATTATCCGTCTTCATAGTGCTTTTCATTCACTCTGTAGACTTCGGTACTTCTTGCATTCACTTCGTTTTTTTTTTCTTCTTCTTCTTGAACGCTGTAGAATACTGATTGAAAGAGTCTTCTTGCAATCTCGAGGATAGGCTGGCCGTAGCATTCCATAGGGCGTTGTTGTTGACTGGAAAGAGTTGGGAATGGAGCTCGGCCCCACAGGCGCCGCGACGAGCGTCGCAACCACTTGGCCATGGCACCCCTTTTTTTGAAAATGTGGAAAATCGAACTTTATTTATTTGACCGCCTCTTGCGGTGGTATAATCTTATAATATACCCAATAATGTAGAGCGTTGTACAAAAACATTTGTGTCAGCCGGGATATGGAAAAATCAATAAGAATACATATAGGTCATGCATATAGAAAAAGACAGAGTGCATCTGGTCTAGAGGGGCTGTGCGTCGCACGCAAGGTCGATGGTTCGATTTCGCGCTAATAGCTCACTAAGCCATCCATCCCTGCGAGGTCGGTAAATTGGTGCGGGACTGGTCTCAGACTTGTCTGGGAGGGTAGGCAGCACTGATTCGATTCAACGGGATTGTAAAGGCCAGATATGCAATCAATCACCTCAAACGAAGTTAAAAATCGAAGACGAATGCGTATCGCATCCCTCAGGGATCGATCAAAGTCGAGAGCTTTATCCTTTTTCCTTTAAAGAAGAAAGTGTCAGCTGGAAAGATTTCGATGCCCAGATGATGATGTGCTCACCATTCCAAATCCGTTAAGGTTTGATTACTAACAGCTTCGATAGTTTTCTTGAAGTAGGGGTGGTATAAAAGCGGTGGCATCGATAATGCAGTGGTAGTACGCGCTCCCGGTATGCGATTTCAACCTCTAGCTGAGGTTGGATGCTCTGCTATTACTCTGTATAGTATAGTAGATATAGAGAGGATATATCACATTTACTTCGTTATTTATGGCAATGAAACTGGTAGCAACAGAAAAGTGATCAAAACAAGAAAATATTGGCAATTTTTCCTTGATGTTCAATTATTTTAAACTATGTAATTATGTGCTGCACGTGGCGAGGGTGGCATATGTCATTATCATGGTGAAATCGATTTTGTCCAGATGCTTGTCGATTGAGGACATGAAACTACTTTGTGCACTGCTATGCATCGTTGTCGATGTCGAGCAGAACTCTCAATCACTTCTTCTCTTCCTCTTCACAAAACTCATGAAAATTCTACCCGTAACATAATGTTCCTACTTATCTCTTATAAACGATGCGTGGTGCGATGCTATTTATAAAGGATGAATGGACTTCGCTGAGTTAAGTTCCAGTTTCCTCTAGGAATTCTATGAGAGAGCACAGATGCACAAGTGCTGCAGCTGTTGTTTTTTATTATCATTATCAATATTATTATTATTATCGTTGTTATTATCATTATTACTACTATTACTAGTATTATTGTTATCGTTATTTCTGTTGCTATTTTTATTACTTTTAATATTATCATTGTTATTGTAATTATTTTGTTCTTGTAAAGTGCGTTCGAAAAACTGCAAGGCGGTTGTTTAGAGATTTGTTGTTCTTTATAGGTGAACATTTATGAGGCTTTGTCTTTTTCAAAGCTTGATGAAGTCATATTATCGCATAATTAACGTTTATTAATATTAAATTTCGTAAAAAGTCGGTCTTTCAAATTATTCTAGACGTCTCCCTGAACTTGTATTATCTCATAAAACGTCGTTACATCGTTTCGAAATCATCGTCGACCACATCGATCAAACTGAAAAGCTCAGCGAACAAGCTGGCAGTCTTGTGCGATCCACTCAGTTCAATGCGCTTTTCGCGCCGAATCTCTCCACTCTCCGTCTCTCATCACGCACTTCAACCATGTCTGACTCCACTAATGTTGATTGTTCGCCTAAGATACGATGTACTTTAACTAATTGATAATTTTTACTTCATTTCATTTTATACTTGATTTCTACTCCCATTATCTTTGAACAATACGATGATTTCGTTCTGCGCTGAAAATTATCACGTACTTCTATTTAACAAACGCATAGAATCTGTATACTCTAGTGAATTTAATGGCGCGAGCTCACGTGTAACCCCTTCAATTGTGTTAGTAAATGCTTACGAATATACTCAGTTCAAATCGTGTAGTCTGTTGCTTTACAGTTCAATATTTCCTAAAGCTGAACTTATTACTCTATTACATGTAATATTCAGATGAGTGGTTTTTTCCGTCTTTAGTACTTGTTATGACGTCATATTGATAGCATTGTGTTGTACATTCTATCATTTACACAACATTACTTACACAATCATCTTTTTTTCTTTCCCCGTTTTTTGCAGACCATCGATTGATGATTTTTGAACGTTATCGTTATCGTTTGTGTCTCTTTGAGTCATTGTGAATCATGATCTCAGCTCATCACAAAGGACTACACCCAATTTACAATAAGGCAGTAAACTTTTGCGGAGTAGCGATAGAGAGTTGAAAGTTTAAGTTTAAGCATTTTGGTTGGTGATTTCTCTGAGTCATAGCTTACCAACGTTTATCCGAATTACGTTCAAAGTAATTTTAGATGACTTACGTGTTTTTTCTCTTAGTAGCGGTCAACTGCATAAGCAAACGATCAACTCTAAATAAACAAAATTAACTTTTGTTGGCAAATTTTTTCCAAAACGTATGTTAAATTTTGACGGTAGACTTTTAAATCCTACATCTTGGTTCGCCTTCATATCAGTTATGTTCACAATAAGATTCTTCACAATTCAGTGTCTTCTTCTGTTTAGCCGCTCCGAGGTGTTATTAATAGTATTTATTGGATATCAGCGGAGCATATAACAATACAGTTAATAATGCAGCACAAATATTACAACAGTCGTGGTGGCTTACGTTTCGGCAAGGTTCGCCATCTTCAGAGCCTGGAAAGGTCAAATTGGTTCGCAAGTTATTAAATCAAAGGCCTCCATAACCCTAGCAGAAAACGTAAGAGATAAATTTTTGGGTCGCATAGGAAAAACTTTACTTTAAAAACACTCACCTTTTGAATGTTTTAGGTCTTTCAATTAATCATTGAAGACCTGCCACTTGGAGTCTATGATAAGACTGTGCCAGGCTCAGGTCGGGAATATCAGCCTGAGGTATGGAGCTAGGTCACGCGTTATTATGAGGCATTCCTTTTTTCGGTTTATTTTTGGGCCTTACCTCAGGTTGATATTACCGACCTGAGCCAGGCACAGTCTCATATTATCATAGACTCCAAGTGGCAGGTCTTCAATGATTAATTGAAAGACGTAAAACATCTAAAAGGTGAGTGTTTTTGAAATGAAGTTATTCCTATGCGACCCAAAAAAATTTATCTCTTACGTTTTCTGCTAGGGTTATGGAGGCCTTTGATTTAATAACTTGCGAATCAATTTGACCTTTCCAGGCTCTGAAGATGGCGAACCTTGCCGAAACGTAAGCCACCACGACTGTTGTAATATTCGTTCTGCATTATTAACTGTATTGTTATATGCTTCGCTGATATTCAATAAATACTATTAATAACACCTCGGAGCGGCTAAACAGAAAAAGATACTGAATTATTCGGACTATGCCGAGGTTAATAGATAGTCGGACCTGGGATTCTTCACAATCTACACCTTTATGTCAGTAGGACACAGTCTTGTTTATTTTAGCAATTAGTATGGCGATCTTTCGTCAGAGGTGGCGAATTCTCATATAAACGAATTACTGACGTAATATTTACTCAGCAAGTGATTGACAAAATCCCTGTTGGAGAGCGTGCTATGTAAGGCAGAGTTCATAGCCAAATTTTCATCTTTTACTACATTGTACGTGTTGAGGTACAAGCGAATTGAATTTTTTCCGGTGATCAATTCTGGATTCACATGATGGGATTTTTAGTATTATTCTTCGCAGTGTTTCTAAGCTGTTCTCGTTTCAATGAGATCTGAGAAGCTATGGCCAATTTACCCAGTTGTAGTCCATTGGACAGTTTCCATCGCCAATAATTTTTTCTATCTAACTGTTTTTTAGCGATGGTATGATGTTACAAATACACTCAACTATGTCGAATGATGTGAAAAACTTTGACGTCAGACAGAATCGCGTTGCAGCGTAGAAAGAGAGGTGGGAAAACAGGCGTCGGTAGTGCAAATGGTTAGCACGTGGTCCCGGATAAGGTGAAATGCAGGTTCGAGACCCGCCTGACGCGAAAATTTTGCACGTCACTGAACATTATTGGATTTATTAGTAACGTCATACCCACCGCTAAATAGCGACTTTTTAGAAAGAATTGTTGTTGATCACATATATTCAATATCTGTCAGCGTAACTAGAATTAACGCTGTTATGGCTTGCTAGGTCAAACTGTTGACGATCGGTTGCTGACAGATTGAGGCGTTGTAGCGTAAAAGGAGTTGTGGCAAAAGAGGCGTAGGTAGTGCAACTGGTTAGCACGCACCCCCGGATAGAGTGACATGCGAGTTCGATTCTTGTCTAACGTTGAAGTCATGCACACCGCTCAACATTTTTCAGTTTCCATCTCTTTTCTCAGCTCAAATTCGTTTTGGAAAGTGTTTATAGGTTGATTTCGTACTAGACAATGCAGTGAACGTCGTCGATTGTTGATTTTTCAGCGCACATTACAAAGCAGTCGAAATACTGACGACTATTATTGAGCAAAAAAGCACGGAATGAAGTTTATAGTTACGCTTCCAGTAATCGTTCATCTCATTATTCAGCTATTTATGTCTTCTGAATCGCGAACGACTGCTGATTTCTGAGTTCTTCTACAATTTTCCTTTTTCACTTTTTCAAGAATAGGAATCTACTGGGCGCGTGCAGCGCAATGGTTAGAGGTGCTCTGTGACTGGAACGATCGATTGATGGACGATGGCTTGAATCCGCACTCAAAGCTCACCAATCCTCCCATTGAACTTTGTTGATCGTATGAAACAATTTTCAATCATCAACATGCGTGTTTCGGAGGTCTGGTCCACCTCGTCAGTGGCCCACGCCCTATATTAAGCCCTGCATTGTAGCAAGGAGGGAGGCGTATGTGGTGACAGCACTACATACAACGACATTGTGCTATCACCAATTTTCAGTCGATGGATCGCGGCTGGTAGATACAAATTGATCCGTAGCATCGACTGCTTTTGAGGCCTCGCAATAAACATTCAATATAATTCTTAAGAATGTTTGAAGCCTAAACGAGGTTGGTACGCAAGAATCATACACGCGTGTTTCGGAGGTCTCGCCTTCCTCGTCAGTGGCCCACACCCCGCATTAAGCCCTGCATTGTAGCAAGGAGGGAGCCGTATAAAAAGCAAAATTAATATGCAGGATTAATATTATTTTTTGCTGGCCTTTTGTATTCAAATGTCATTTTTCATTTCGTTAACTGCAGGGATCTGACCATCTTTTGCTTGATTTTTGGTCATTTCGCATTTTACCAATTGTTTGAATCTGACCATCGCACTCATTCTAGTGGTTGCTGGTTACTTTCATTGTGTGCTACAAATAGTAAAGCTAACGTATTTATCCACATCTGTTTCACTACAGAGTGTTCCTTTGCTGATCAATGCTCCAACGAGAATATTTCTTCGAGGAGCGGCCTTGACAAGACCATATTCGGTAGTTCAATTAACGTCTTTACCTGAGGTGTGTTTTGTTTTTTTTTCTACCACAGAGTAGAGGTACGATGCAATTTGGTAAACTAAGCATTTTCCAAATTACTTTGCTATTCTATCTATGTAATGGAGAACATGCAGCTCAGTTCCTAGAGATGCTTAACAAAATAAATGTGATCGTTGGTTTGATCTCGCATCCACGCAAACCAAGTTTTCCATGCGTTCGGGGTCGATAAACTGAAGCCATACTTGTGCGGAAGCAAAAACGTAAGTTGACACATTCATTGCACCCCAGCAATCATTGAGTAGGTCAGAAATTTATTCAACAACCATCACGATGTTCAATGAAATTGATTGCACGGCAATTTGCTGAGGGATTATCAACGCCGAACGTTCAATCGTTTCTATAGATCTATGATGAATTTTATATGCTGTGACAAACATTACGTATATTTTACAACGTTGACATGTCATCATAGAGTCTCCGCACAAATCCTTTGTGTTTAGTAGACATTCTCACCCCGACTAAATGGTGAGCTTCTTCAGTCATCAACTCATTTTTTCAACAAAATGGGACACTTCACATCATGTGGTTGATCGATTTCAGAACATTGAAGAATTTCTTGTAATTTGCAGTAAATAATTGGTGATGTCGCAGACGTTTTGTGATTTTCCCTTGGGAGACGGTTCTTTCCCATTGCTTAGGAATGTGATTAGTGAGGAGATTCCTAATAGTGTTCCTTTACCATAGAAACATTTTCAAGTATTACTTGAATAGTTACAAGATACCTGCTGACAAGCTGTGCCTTTAGTACACCAAGGTTTGATGTTGACGAAACTACTTCATTCTTATTACTTTTCAATCTGAAATCGCTCGTCAACATGACAAAATATTTGAGCATTTCGGATTAATACGTCGCATCAAGAGCGCATGTAGTGCAGTGGCTTGAGGTACTCCGCGTTGAAATGTCTCTTTTTTAACCTCCTGCACATGGTTCACTAAACCTTCCATATTTCTGGAGTCGGTGAATTGGTACCATACTTGTCTGGGAGGGTAGATAGCGTTGACTCGATAGAGCGGTAGACCACCGCGAGTCATTGCAAAGGGAACATATGCAGTCACCTTAAACGAAGCTAAAAACTGTAGACGAATGCATGCTGCATTCCGGGTTGATCAACGTCGAAGGCTTTATCCTTTATCCTTTTGTGTCATATGAGAACAATCGCTTTTTATAATTTACTGCAAACCGGTTAGCTGATCGCTACGAAAATTAATCGTCCTAAGAAAATTTTCAACAAACCGAATTTTGCGCATGTACACTTTTCTGTCTTCTAGTATCATCTCTCCTCTTTTTTGAATTTTTATTCTTGCAACAACTATGTATGAGTGGGACTTATAATGAAAAGAGGATGTCGTTGCGTATCGTTTTTTCCGTGATCGAAAAATTTTCGATTCCTCTTGTTAATGATCAAACATGTCTTTCTTTTCGAAACGTATGAACATAGCGAACTTTGTCTGAGAGGATAAAGACACTGATTGCGCACATTAAAATACCACTGCAAGTCATTGTAGAGCTCAGATCTGCATCCAGTCATCTCTGTCATTCATTATAAACCAAATACGTGACGTTTCTTCCAGCATTGATTGCTTTCACGCTTTATATTATCATTTTGTGCACTGCAAATTAGTTTTCAATCGTGTGTGTTCAGTTTTCAACTTTCTCATCGTTTTGCTTTGAAGCGCTAAAAATCTCATAGTTAGGTGTGATCAGTTCTCCAGCGTATTGGGATATGGAGTTTTACAGGTCGTGTAAAGCCTTATTCTCAAATTTTCACGATTGTCCAAAAATATCCGCTAATAAAAGGTTTTAATTCACGAAGAAGGGCATTTCATGAAGAAGTATAAGATTTCCATTTTACTTCAACCCAATCATTTATTCCATTACTATTGCACTTGGTTTTATGGCCAAGATTCCTCGGCCTTCACCAACATCCTATTAATAAATTAGTTATTATGTAATGAGTTATAATCTTAACTTCTCAACCAAGTGTGAAGTTTTGTAGTGGAATTAGAGTGATTAATAGTTGAGATCTCACAAATACCACTATAATAACGGAGAATATTCCAGGTATGGACATAAAAGCCGACATGTGTGGCCCTAAGGCAAAAACATGTAAGGTCTACAAATTAGTACTCACCGGTGGTCCTTGTGGCGGCAAGACAACTGGACAGGTTAACCAAATTATAGCTCACATTTCATCAGCTCTCGAATTCAAAGCATCTTCTAAATGTTCGGCAACACCTAATTCTAAGATTTTACTACCACGCGATTTTTTGCAAAAGGACACAAAGTCGCGTTCTGTTGAAAGAGCTAGTAAATTGCTTAATGTCGTTTCCCTAATTGCTTCAAAGCCATAGTATGATGTTGCAAAATACCCAATAATGTTGAGTAATATACAAAACTTTTGCGCCAGTGGAGACTCGAACCCGCATTTTACAGTAGCGGGCGCCACTGTAAATCACTCAACATCACTGTGTATGGTTGAAGCATCACACCACCGCTCTAAAGCGGTAAAATAAAAATAATTCTTTTATTCACCACATATATCCAATCTCTGTGGGCGTAATTAAGTTCGATGTCATTATCGGCTGCCTGGGCCAAAACCGTTCACGGTTGATTACTGAATGATAGACTGTTGCAGCGTAGAAAAAGTGGTGGCAATACAGGCGTTGATATTCGGTCACGCAGGCTCTGTAGGTTTTTTTCAAACCTGGGTAATTGGACCCTTATATACAATGTATTACACAGCGACATTAATTTATCTACCTGTAAGTCAGGTGAGTGATACATAATCAACAGTAGGTAACAGAGAAAAGCAGTTATGTGAGCAATAAGAAAATGCTTCTAATTTCATCATTCTAAATTCTAAAATCATATCTTTCTTCTATCGCTTTCGTGAAGAAATCGGACCAACGGGTCAGTGGTCTTCCTTTAGAGCGCTTGACGTCCCGAGGAATTCGGTCGGTAACGGTTCTCGTCCATCGGTTGTCGTTGAACCGCATCACGTGTCCGGCGCACCTTATTTTCGATATCCTAGCGTGTAGAAGGGCGTCTCTAATTTTCGATCGTTGACGTAGGTCAGATTTTCGGATCCTTTCTCTCATTTGCGAGATGCGGGATACTCCTAGCATCGACCTTTCGACTGCGCGTTCGATAACGCCAAGTGATCTTTCATCCTTCTTACGTAGCGATTAGGGCAGGGATAATTGTCGAGTCGAAAAGGTGGGCACGGAGTCGGACGTTCTTTGTCCTCTTCACTATATCTTCGATGCTCTTAAACGTTCCCCAAGCTGCTCTTTTACTCCTGCTCAACTCTGGAGCTAGGTCTTTCATCATGTTGATTTCACGACCTAGATAGACGTAACTGGAGCATTCGGAGATTGTCGTTCCGTTGAGCGTGAATGGGGCATTAGAAACCCATCCGTTCCTCATGATCAATGTTTTCGTTAGATTGAAGATTTGAAGACCAATCTTTCCACAGGCGTTATCAAAATCGGTCAACATTCGTTCCGCTTGACTGATGTTTGGTGTTATGAGAACGGTATTGTCAGCAAAGCGAAGATGGTTCAATTGTCGACCGTAAATTTTCACCCCCATTTCGTCCCATTCTAATGTTTGCATGACGTTTTGTAGGGTGGCAGTCAATAGTTTGGCGAAGTTGTATCGCTTTGTCGAAGCCCTCTTCTTACGTCAATGGTGATGTTATTGTAGAATGGTGATATTTTGGTCGTGAAATCTCTATGAAGCTCACGAAGGATCATTATGTACCGAGTAGGGACGCACTGGTTATCCAGAGCCTCTATGCTCGCT